TGTGTTGACATTTGAATGATCTCAATTTAGGGGAAAAGGTCTCGGTTGAGTTCCTTGTAAAGACTATGCCCCCCACTCCCATCATTTTCCCCATCAAACCTTCCACAAACACTACTAGATACCAGAAAATGGATCCTGAGCCTTGACTTACAGCCCTTATGCCTTTGTTTCTCTGTTAATTCTTTCTCGTCTTTTAAGACTGGGTTCAAATGATGCCTCCAGGAAGCCACCCCCATCTCTAACCCCTACTCTGTTGTAAGCCTATTGTTAGAGGGGTTCCTCCTTTTTTTCCCACTGCTTTCTGTGAAGTCCTGTACTGCAGTAGGAACCACAGAAACTTCAAAGTTATCACTGTCTTCCCATATCTTGGCCCCACTCATTTCATGGACTATTTCCATTACTAGGCACAAGTCTGACTCTCATGACCTGATTGAAGGATAATATAGCTAATCAGCGCTCACGGTGGGGAGTGGGACAGTCTGGAAAATGCATTATTAGTCAGAAAGTCTTGTTTTGGTGCCTAATCTTGCTAGAAACTAGGGCAACCCTACAAACTCTTCTTGGTCTTAATTTTCATTAGGGACAGATGTGAAAACTACATGTATACTGCAGGTGGAATTCTTTATCAGATGTTACTTTATCAATTAGGTTTCTTTCTCATTTTGTCATCATTGAGTATCTCAATATTGTTGTATATCAGGTTTTCTCACGGTAGCCACATAGGGTAGGTGCCTAGTGTTGGTTTTCAGATGAGAACATAAGAGTCACAGACTCATTAACTTACCTAAGATCATATGGATAATTGCAGCAAACCTTAGATCTGAACAAGAATCTCTAATGTCTGTGCTCTAATCACTCATAGTCTCTGAATTCAAGTGTTTACTAATATTGTGGCTGCTTAGATTCAGCACTGGTATGAGATTTATTTCAGCCTTCCTGTTTTCTAGTCTGTAATGTATAAAGGCAGTTATTCCCATAGACAGATGCAGTTTTGTTGAACTTGATTTTGTCTACCTCAATTTTTTTTTATTATTAAGATTTATGTATGCATACAAAACTGAGGTACAGGCCAGAGGTGCAGGGACAGTGAGAGGATTCACCAAAGACAAAGTGGGGAGCACAACAGGCAGATTCACTGAAATTCACTTTTGAGGGGAGCAGCGGGTTAGCAGAAGAAATCTGCTGTGCCATGTGGGTCTGCTCCCTGCCCAGGGATCAAACTCATGCTGAAGCAGCTGCGGAGAGCTTCCTAGTGCTGCATGTCAACTCCTTGCACCACCAGAGTACCCTGCCTTCCTCAATTCTCAGTGTTCTTACAGAGCTAATGTCAACACACCTCTTTACAGGGGCTGATATTTGGAATATAACAGAAAGCTGTTGGCATGCCATCTCCCACATCAAGGGGAGGTGGTTTTCTGTAATCCATGAGCATTGGAATTGGATGCAGATACCCTGAGGTTAAATTCCAGCTCAGTCAATAAAAACATATCCTTGGAAGAGCAGCTTAGATTCTAAGAACCTTTGCTTTTTGGGGATTTTTTTTTTCTTATCTCTAAAACTGGTGTAGTCTCTTCTTTTGAACATTAATATGGAAACTGAGTCAAGTATAAATGAAATCACTTTGCTGAAAAGGAATGTAACAGTTACTTTTTTCAGGATGCAAAACCCCCTTCAAGCGAATCAGTTAATTATGTATATATTTATAAAAACTGGCAGGGATAATTTCTTTTTGATTTTTTAAAGATTTATTTATGAATAGAGAACTGGGGTACAGGCCACAGGTGCATAGGGTGAGAGGATTCACCAGAGACAGAGTGGGGAGCAGAACAGGTAGATGTACTGAAGTACACTGCTGAGGGGAGCAGTGGGTGGATCAGAAGAGGTCTGCTGTGCCATATGGGTCACCTTCCTGCCCGGGGATAGAACCCATGCTGCAGTGGTTGATATAGATTCACAGTGCTGTGCTTTAATCCAGTGTGCCACCAGGGAGGGCCCAGGGATAATTTCTTAAGCATTATACCAACCAAACATCTAGACTGCTGGAGCAGGTTGAAGAGATTCACTAAGATGGCTGGTCAAGTCTGAAAGTGTCAACAGAGTAGGGATATTGAGACATCATGTCACTTTGCATGAAGTATATAATGTCCTCTTAGAAACTTCTAGTAATGCACATAGATCTCTTGCTGGAGAAAGGGTACCTTCAGACAATGAGCAAACCTCACTTAAAACAACATCACAATACAGCCACCTGAGACTATCTGAACACAGTGAGTTCTTTGAAGTCTGTGGGTCATTCCATATAGCCATGACACTGGGAACTGGATACAGAGTGTGGATCAATGATAGCAATTACAGTTCCACTAAACCATTACCCAGCTACCTGAGTGTGGAACCCAGAAAGGAATAACCAAAGTGCATCATTGATGGGAAAAATGGAACAGAATTTAATTTAAATACATCATAAGGTGTTGTTTGAAAATGACACTGCACTTCTAGGTGTGTGGAGGCAAAAAAATGAAGTGCAAAAGTATTGCTCCAGCTCTCTGAACTTGAGGAAGACTGACCTTCTGAGTACAAGCTCAGAATGACAGCACAAGATGACAATAGGCTGTCCTGTGATGTGTCAAAAATAAGATGCCACTAACTAGCTACATAAATGACCTTCTCCTGATTAATGACAGAATTAAAAGTTGAACTTGGATCCAAGCAGGGCTGGACAAAAATTCACCTGAACTCAGGGGAAAAAAAAAAAAAAAAAAAAAAAAAAAAAAAAAAAAAAAGGCAGAAAGGCCTTTGTTATTTTAATCTTTTGGTAAGTAGTTCAGTGCTGCTCAGAGAGGAATGAGGATTGCCAGGGGGAAGTCACTTCCTTAAGAGACAGGGACATCTGAAAGGTTAGAACACCATGAAAAATGTGCATGTGTGACCACCAATTTTATTTTCTTGTCCATTTACTAGACAGGGAAATGTGGAACTCAGAGATCTAAAGTCTTGATTGAGCTGTTTCTGTTTCCCTCTAATTTCCTCAGGAACCATAATAATCTTGCACCTGAGATTCAGGTGTTTGAGGCAGTTAGTTAATAGGGAACATACAAAGCTAGAGGTGGTCCAGGAGATAACCACATTAATTCACATTTGTCTTTCATGATCTGTGGACTCTGGTTTTTATGAATTTCTCTTATTTGACATTTGCAGCTTGCCTCAGTCATTGAAGCCCTTGCATATCTGATGCCCTCTGGTACTTTCTAGTTTTGACCTCCTAAGCAGCTTCTGTGAGAGAGAGGGACTGAGGTAAGTTGTAAATTAGGTGCCTTTGTGGGGCCTCCCTGGTGGCAGAAAGGGTTAAGTCCCAGCATGATGAGGCTATCCATAGCCACCCAGTCAGGGAGGTGACTCACATGGTGCAGCAGACCTCTCCTGTCCTAACTGCTACTTCCCTCAGTAGTGTATTTCAATAGATCTGCCTGGTCTGTTCCCCACTCTCTCTGGTGGATCTTCTTACCTACCCTCTGGCCTGCACCCCAGCTCTTGCACAGCTCTTGCACAGATAGATAGATAGATTTAATATATATATATATATATATATGATCAAGTGCCTTTGAAATATGAACAGCCATGGTTTGCTCTCACATAATGAGAGGGGGCAGACACATAGACACAGTGGCTCATTGACAACGATGAGGGGAGCAGCATGAAGAAGTGGAGGTCTCTGGGGGGACAGATTCAGGCCTGGCTGACCGAATTCTACCTCCTACTTACTGTTTGCAGACGATGTATATATAAGCAAATGTTTAAATGACCATGACCTCAACTTGAAGCAGGTATGTTTCTATAAATCAGTGAGATTTACCAAAATAATAATAATAATAATAATAATAATAATAATAATAATAATAATAATAATAATAAATAATAGTAAGTAACTCTCATATGGCGAATACTACTATTAGGTCTCCTTAGCTAAGATTTTGAGTAAATCTTTCAAATGTGTCAGCCTCAGTTTCCCCTATTTTCCAGGTGCACAAGTACAGGTAAAGAGGTAGTTCAGTGGTACTAAGGAAATAACATGAAACAGTACAGCCCATACGCAGATCCAACAAGAGCCAACTAGCAGACTTTCCTTACATTCCTCTCAAGCCCCAAGAACAGAAAATTTAAAACATTGGACACCGACAAACCCTTTTATGGAAATGACTATCAACATATCTTCAAACCATCTGTTTCTCTGGCTGTTTTTCCTTTCAGTGTCGTTCATTCATGTGTTCCTTGCTAACAACAACAAAAAAATCTAAAATAACCAAGATGTTGTGACTGAAAATGCCAGAGATATATATCCAGTTTATGAGAGAAATTGCTTTTGAAAGCAGAGTTAGGTTTATCTTATGTGGAGGAAGGCAACATTTCTGCAAATATTATAGCTGTGTTAAGAAAATAACCAACTACTTTCATTAGAAGTATGTAACGAGATTTGTAGATTTGTTCATGACTTCTGAATTTGTTCATGACTGAATGCTTCTGAAGCCTGTCAGATCTGAAAGCTATTAAGTGTAGACTGTTTTTACTTTGAGGAGAGCTGCCTAAGAAAAGGTCTCTCAGCTTATGTCTGGTTTTCTGTTGTCCTTGAAAGGTCACAGGCCAATCATTTTCTGCCTCTGAATAATGCCATCCACCTAAGAGTGCCTCCAGGGTTTTTCTTTAGCAAGGAAGACTGAGTTAGTGAATGTTTATGGAGTATGTGCTTATGCCTTGCCTGGGAGTCACTATTTTGTATTTAGTGGTCTGCGAGGTAACTTAGGTTAGTTATATCTAGTAATGCACAGCTGTGCTTTTTAATCAAGCCAATACATTTTGTAAGTGTGCGCTCCTTCTCTGTACTCAAGGAGCTCACTATCACCCTACACAGCCTCCATGTCACATGATTTTAATAACTTCAGATTTCCTGGAGGATATGCATTCCATATTTAGGCATCATGTTTACAGGCCATGCTTCTGTCTCTCACCTGGGTTCACCTTGGTTGATGGACATATAAATCTCCCAAGAGTTCTCCTCCGGGATGGCGCCGTGTGGTATGAGCAAACTCACTCCTAAAACAGGAAAAAACAAAACAAGTTATTCAGAGATTTTCCAATTACCTTGAAACACTTCATTGGAGTTCTTTACAGATGCTCATAAAAAGGACCGCACAGCAATTTATGAAATCCTGATCCTCAGAAGGTTTACAAAATCCAAGATAATAACAGGGAAAAACGTCACTTCTTAACAACAAAAAGAGTATATTTCTCAACTGCACTCAGACTAGTTTTTTATGTGACATTTTCCTAGCACTTGTTTAATTATCTAAAAAGATAGCATGTCCTGAGACCAGGTGATATCAAACACACCTGAGAATATAGAGTGGAATGATGTATCAGCTAATCTACTTCAAAATTCAAAGTGTTTCTCTTCTCATTGGTTTCCTGAAAGGGTATCTGGGATGATGCTAGAGTTTCATATCAAATTATTTTACAAATTGTGCATCTGGAAGGGAGTTAGTAGAATGATCCATTTTGTCAAGAAACAAAAATAATACTGAGCTTTGGAAGCTTACAAATAATTCTTGCATTCCTTCTATTTAGCTCTCTCTTTGCATACAGAAACTAGAAAAGGTTAAAGGTGACTTCACCATATTGAAGCTAATGTCAAAACTAAAAAAAAAAAAAGATGGCTTATTTCAATAAAACCATATTATGCAGAGAGGGAGGACACAACAGAACACATTGCAGTGCATTAATTTGAAGCATCCCCCATCTTATCTTGAATGCTGTGAAGTAAATGTTTCAATCTGACCAAAAGGATAAAGTCTAGAAAGGGCAGAGATTCTCTTTAATGTAGCTTCTTGTTTATAAACAGAAATGAAAGGGAGACACACAGTAAGATCTTTCCAAAATAAAAGCTCAGAGAATTCTCTTAGTCTTTGAATAATGCAACTTTCACCTTTCATTAGTGCTAATGTAATCACACAGAAAGCATTCAGCTTTACTGATAATTTAAATCTAGAGATGGCAGTTTTACTAGTATCCTTTTGTGTACTTCTTAGCTTGCTATGGAAATCATCAAGGAACAAAAGACTCGTTGCAAAACAAGTTATTTGTGATTCACACTTATGAGCATTATATATATTCATTATGAAAGTCTATACATGGTATATATGAAGTGTATAAATACTATTGCACATATAATAGAAATGCATATAGAGTGTAAATGTATAGTACATGTGGTATTATGCTAGTTATCATCACTGTCTTTCACTAGTACTAAGAAAAAGGTTCATGTAAATCTTGCTTTTCAGCAATGATATCCATTTCTATTTCTGGACATTTCTGTCCACAGTGGAGGGACTATAATTGCCGTATTTAAGGGTGTCTGATCAGACTGTGCCTTTCATTTTCTACTCTTCCTTAAAAGTAGTTGCTAAATGAAGTATCCTCCATTATATCTTAATACACAGCATATGGGATGTCAACGTGGGTGATATGTACTCACTTTCTCTGTTACCTGCTTTTGGACAGTCTAGGACAACAGAGACATTCATTCACTGTTCTTTTGACACAGAAGCACAGCAAGCTGCCATTGGACCACCTTAGGCCATTAACCCGTAGTGACCACTTTATTGTGCTCCTACTTTTCTTTTCCTTTACTGATGTAAAATACACATGCAGTGGAATGTACCCACTTCAAATGCACAGACTGAGTTTTTGGCAAATGTGGACTTCTGCCAAAAGTCACATGATAACCATCACCTTCAATTATGGAACATTTCCACTGTCAAAAGGTTCCTTGTGCTCTTTAGAAGTCAATTCTTCAACTACCAACACAAATACTCACCTATTTGCTTTCTCACATTACATTAGTTTGCCTCTTCTAAGCCTTCAAATAGATGAAATCATACACTGCCTAGCAACAATAAAGAGGCAGTGCAGTGATGCTGTGTTATATAGTTAACACCTTGCATAAGGCCTGGCACTCAAAAACAAAAACAAAACAAAAAAACACACCAAATTGCATAGTGAATATGTGGGTAGGATTCAAAACTCTTTAACAAAAACAAAATTAGGCTTTGAGATATGTTGTTCTGTAGATCAGGGCCTGCTGGTTCATTCTCAGCCCAAATCAGAAAAAGTACGAACTTCAGAGAAAAGGTGGTTTGTAGAATGGGTCACGTTCATGCCTTTTAAATCCATTTAATTCCCAGGGAATTAAGTACCCAACTTGTATGTGAGTCTGAAGGTAGTCAAACATAGAAGCAAAGGGTATGTTTATATGTAGCAGGGTGTGGTAGTATTAGTGGTGTTATATTTTATCAAGACTGAAAGGTGCTGTGGGAAATTTTCTGCTCATGGCCCTTTAAGGAATTACTCATTGTAGATATGTCATTCACACTTACCACTGATAAATTCTCCGAACTCTACCTCCTGCCCCTACAGCCTTTTGATATGACTGTTAACAGCACCACTTGAGTTTCTTATTTCATATTTATATACTAATTTTTAAAGTATGCGGCCTCCCAAATCTTTTTTGCCAGGCACCATACAATAATTTGGGATGGATGTCCTTGGAACAATCTAATTGCTGTGCCTTGCTTCTTTACACTTCATCTCCCTAGTGCATATTTTGCATTTATGTTCTGCAAATAACAGAACATATGTTTCAATTCCCCACACTTATTTTTCATCAAACTCATTCCCAGTGAGGAACTCCAATCCTGTTTGGGGGCTTCATGTTAGCTGTGAACATATTCCTTCACAATGGAACTGTTTGGGAATCGGTGTCATCAGAACTTTGAGTTTTCAAAACAAGTGATTCTCAACTCAGAAGGGAAGACAAAGAAAAACCTTTCATCTCACACTCTTGGATGAATGTTAAATATACCCAATGAATAGTGTGAGCTTGGCATTTCCTCTACATATGCAAAACAAACACATACACTCTTAACAAATGAGGATGAGAATTGGGAACTGATTTATTGATCCAATAACTATCCAGGGAGCCTCCTTAGTGCCAAGATAAGAAAGCTGAGAGAAGATCCATGCATGAAATCTCAATGTACAATGAGCTTTTATGGTTCTGTTGCATACCCTAGTCTTGCCAAAATGGCAGCAAGACTCAGTGTCTTGTACAGTTTATTTTTCCAGAACCCACACTTACCAGCATCTAGGTTCTTAGAAGCAGGGTACTTAATAATGACCTTGTTCCACAGTAAAGTCTCCTGTCTGCCACTTGCCTCCAGGGAGGATTACATCACACATTGACACTCATAGATATTTAAATGAAGATTTTTAACAAGTCTTAAAACACTGACCAAGGATGATTTAGAGAACTGGAAATGTAAAAAACAAAATCATTTGTAAGGCTGCCTCTGAGGATCATTTGTGTGAAAAGAAGTTTTGAAGGGAGTAACTGACATAGGAGAATGAGAATCATTCATTAACTGGAAATAAATTGCAGTCTCAAGTCACTAGAAGATGCTAGAATCTCAGCTAGCTAGGATCACAGCATCAGACTAGTCATGTTGTGGATTTCATTTCACACGATATAATGTTCAGTTAGGAGAAGATATTTAGCTCTATGCTTAGAGAAAACACTGCCAACACCCCTCCTCCCCATCGGTCCTGAGTTGGTGCTACCTGCTGTTTAATGACACCTGTTCTTTGCCCTCTTAGCCAGGAAGCAGAGCACCCCCCTAGTTCTCTTTACCTAGAGATCAGAGGAGAGATTGCCCTCTCTGTCATCCAGTTCAGTCTCAGATGGCAGTTCTGAAGACTAATCCACAGAGAGAATGTCATTTTAAAAGGTATCTGAGCTGTAGGTCCTTGTCAAAACATCAAAAAAAGGTTTTTTCCCCCACAACCAACAGGGGAAATTCTGGGGAACTAATTGGATTTATGTTATAGCTCCAGAACTGAAGTTTGAATTCAGGAGTAATGTCATAGTAAATCTTTCCATTGTTCATCATAAAGTAACACTATAACAAGGTGTAAGGACATGGACAGTATTTGTTATTCCAGTAACTGAGAAAGTTTGATTGGTTGTCATTTTACTAAATTGCATACCAGCACATAAACCAAAGTTGGCCACAAACATGGTATTTGTCAATGATGGTAAAGAACACTTGCAACACATCCTAATCATATTCTAGAAAATATATCTCAAAGGGGCTTGACTCTGAGGACCACCCAAGACTCCTGGGCAAACACAGCTGTCAACTCTACCCCACATTAAGTAACAGTATTCAGTCCATGTGGAGATGAAGATGCAAAGTCTGACCTCAGCATTGGCCCTGGTTTACTGGGTTGTGTAAATCAAGGACTGAGGGAACCAGTTTTTTGCCCTGACAAGGGCATGGTGAACCTCTTACAAATGACTCTGACTCTGCAGCTGTGTAAATACAAAAGGTATAAGCACAGGCTGGAAAAAAAACACCAACACACACCACCCACCTGTATTTGGCATTACTAAGCGTCCTCCTAAATGGCCAAAGACACCTGTCGTTCTCAGTTCTGTCCTTGTGGGGAGTGATGAGAGGTTTTGGATATAGGGTGTTTTATTTCTGGGGTGCATTGTACTAAAGCTGCGGTTGTTTCCATGGGGGAAAGTCCCAGAATGATTCTTGCCGTGGAACTCCGCTCTCTCAGACACTCCAAGGGAAACCATGAAGGAGCTCTGGACTTTGACTTTGATGTCCGACAAAGGGTTAAAGAGCGAGGACTCTGTCATGAGTTCCTTGTCCAGAGGGTCCTGGAGACAGATGGGCCCGCTGTACGTTCGGCTCACTGTTAGGTCTGGTTGCATGGAGGGGTTCAGGAGCAGGGAGTTACCTGGTGAAAGAACACTTATCTGTCATTCCGAAACTAGCAGTCATTGCAGTTACTCTTCCTTTGCCTCTACTCTTTGCGCGACCCCACCCGCATGCTTGCCAGCTGCTCATGACAGATCCAGCGTAGCAAGAACCCAAGCTTCTGGGGCAGCCCCAGCGGGCTGGTCACCAGTGATCAGAACTTTGGAACTCACAGCTCTGCCTTTTACTGTCCATTCTCTGAAGGTGGCTGACTCAGATCATTCATTTCCCAGGGTTCTTTGCAAGCTAGCTTTTAAAACAAGTATTTCTGGCACTCTCTTGGGCAATTAACTCAGGTATTATGTTCACGTGATTACTTTAACTGGCAAAGGGAAAGTTAAAAAAAAGTTGTTTTTCAATTCAGTTAGGTGCAAAAATAACATCTGTTCATTCTAAATGGTAAGAGAGGACACAGTGTGGTGACTAGGTGATGCTGTTTATAACCGGAGCTGTGTCGGTGCCAGCACATCACGTGGGATTCTGGGCAGGTTTTGGAGTCGGAAGAGGAAATAATTTGTCCTCGGAGCAAAAGGGTCAGGGACTTTATGAATTGCTCCCAGTCTGAGCAGCCAATTTGTGCTAATAACGCATATGTCACTCTGTGAGAGGAGGAGGCACCACATGGGGAGGATGAGAGGCTTGGTCTCTATGGAGGAAGCTGCGGCCAACGGCTTCCTTTCCATCTTAAAACAAATTTTTAAAAATCTTTACAAAACCATGAGAAATTGGACTTTCTCATCTGTTGCGCTTACCAGTATTTCCCGAGCCAAATATTAAAAAGAAATGCTGTGATATTTTCTTGTGATGAAGTAATCTCATTTATTAGTAAATAACAAAATAACCTCACTCCCAAATCTCCCACCCATATCAGTCCATCAATGTGACATCTCAAATTGAAACCCAAACAATATTGAACAATTTTCGTTTGGGGCTTGACAAAAATGTTTAAAGTATGATATTTCTGAAAGTTTCAATTCTAGGCCCTGCTATATTAGCCTGCATTTTTCTATTTTCATAATTCTGTGGCCAAACCGGCAGGAAATCTATAGCATTGACTTTTTTTCACCTCTTGTTAGAACATTTTAGGAGTCCAAACTCATAGAAAAGGGGGTTTAGAATGAGATGAAATAACCTTGTGCAGGGAGAGACTCCATGATGAGTGCATATTTTAATTCAAGGCTCCTGTGTTAAGATATGAGCACGATCAGGGGGTTGTGCTTTTAATAGAACTGCACTTTTTATAGGTACCAACCTGGCTCTTGTTCATGGCCTTCCCATACAACAAGTGGGACTTAATAACTAGTTGATGACTCAAAGGAGCTTGAAAAGTTTATACCAAGACCCAAAAATTGTAAATCTGGTTTTTGTCTCAAGCCTTCACCTTCTCACATTCACGTGGACTAGTCTTTAAGGACGTTCCTAACCTTGATGAATCTAAGAAAGTCTAACAGTAGGAATATGTGTTGGTTTGTTTCAAGTCTGAGTAGGGACAATTACCCATTTCCCTGGGTTTCTTCATAGAAGTCGTTTTCAAGGTCCCTAATCTATTCTAAGAATGGCATTCTACATAAAAGTTTCTCTGTAAAGTCTTCCTGGGACATTGACTATATTTTCTCAAGAAGGGTTAGATGTCTCTAAGACCATGGTGGTGAAACCCTTATGTCCTTCAGTGTGAGGTATGTCATAATAGAGGAGTATTTTAATGAAGATTTTTTTTTTTTATATTACTGCCTTGGTTAACTCTGATTGAAAAATTAAACAGTAAAATAAGTAGTCTTCTCTTAGAGCTTCATAATATAATAAGTAAGCACTCGTAATGCCATAGGCAAACAATGCCTTTATTTTATGCAGATCAGCATTTAGGCTAGGGACTTACCTCTCTTACATGCTGATCTCTGGGACACATTTTACCTATGTCAAGGACTGATAACCTGCATTATTCTAGGTGATATCTTCACAAGAACTCTCTGAGGTGGATGATAGTAATCTCATTATATAGCCAAACATTTCAGACTCTGAGAAGAATGGACTAATGTTGGACTAAAATGGATCTATGCATGTAACTCTCAGGATACTATATGTCTTATTTCAAGTGTAATGGTCTATGATATTAATGGAATAGTTGCTAGTTTATTTTGTATGGTATAAAGATTGTTTCTTTATTGAATTTTATTTATTTTCAAAGATTACCCTCTGGGTATAGGCCAGAGGGATGTGTGTGTGTGTGTGTGTGTGTGTGTGTGTGTGATACACTGCCGAGGGGAACAGCTGATGAGACACGAAGTCTGCTGTGCAGGCCTTAGCTGCTTGCCATGCTAGGGATCAAACAGATGTTGCACTAGCTGTCTACAGCTTATAGCACTGTTTCTTTAAACCCTGAAACACCAGGAATGCCCTGAATTTACTTCTAATGAAATCTGTATACTAATCTATAATACCCAATGGAGAAGTATCTCTAAGACTGAGCAGATTCAGATCTGCAACGTTAGTGCCCCACAGTGAGTGGGGCAAAACACTTAGCACCCAGGCACCTCCTAGTTTCTAGCATACTTGGGTTTCCACTTCAGGACCTGTCTCTTCTCGGTCCCCGTCAAGTAGTAGGATGAGTTCTTGTCTGGTGTTACAGGTGCAACTTACATGCAACAAATAGAGTTAAAGGTGGTAATATTGACGAGGGTCAAGGTAGAAACTTTCATCCTCCTTAGAGAAACACTTCTAGTTTTTTTCTAAAGTAAGAGCCTTGTATGCCTCATCACAGTCTCACACCAGGAATAGATTTGTTTCATATAAGAGAATTAAATGACTCTCTGTTTTGAAAATGAGTACTGCTGTAGTTTGACATGATAGATTTTCCTTCCCCCCACCACAACAAAAGATTGCTTTGACTTGGCAACAGCTGAGAGTCATTTAGGCTGGGAATTTCATTTTTCCCTCTACTATCTGACATCATATATCCTCTAAAGTCCTTTTACTTATTTAAAATAGAAGTAACAAAAATAACTCTCCCTAATAAATAGTGTTTTAAATACGCCTGGGAGGTTGTGGTTTAGTAGTTGGTTCTCAGCCTTGAATAATCAGTATTTTAGTGAACTAAATTAAATACATCAACAAAGCAGGCTTATTAAAGGAGGGAGTCAGATAATCTGAGGTAAAAATACTTAAGCTCACTACACATAAAAAAGGGAATGCTTTACTTAAAATAAGTTGATACAGCATTAAGTTGAGGTTCATATGTCCTCACATCAAGGACTTCAGCAGACCACTCCAGTGGGGCTGCTTTGCTGCTGTGGGAATACAATTTGGTAGCGGCTCCCAGGGCCAAAAGCTACCTTCACACAGGACCAATGAGAACGGGGGTCCTGAGTGAGTGTAGGCTATGGCCTGAGGTCGAGGTACTGGGGGAACCTACGCCGCTGACCTTGACGGACTGTTTTGAAGTTGAAGGTCTGGAAGCCACCTGTCAATGCAGAAGAGTCAATCACGTCCACGCCATAGTCACTCTGGCTTCTTCTGTACAGGGTGACCCCAATGACCAGGACTGCCACGGCCACGACAGCAGCACCCAAACCCGAGTACAGAGCAATGTCGCTGGCGTTCTCGATGCCTGAAAGACACAAGAGAATCCTCAGTGGCCAACATGGCGATAGGGGCAAAGAACCACCCTGAGAGAAAATGAAATGCTATCAGACTTTTGGAGTACTGCACAAAGGATATGACACATAGCTAGATGCAAGTTGTACTCTCACATAATCAAGTTTTTAAACTACCGTGTATAAATCAAAGGGATGCTAATTAAATATTTAATTGCAATAAGGTAGTTTACCATGTACAGAATATATCTGTTGAAACAACATATTTTTTCAAGAAAATAATAGACAACTTCTTAATTTACTTCTTTGAGAAAGTTATTTTTACCTGCAAAGTTTATTTTTGAAGGATGGCATGAGAACCACATACAATGATAACTATGGGTGAACTGCTCTGCATTATCTATGACCTTGTGCACATGCAATTACAGAGCGTGGTCTAGAAAAAGTAACACATGGTCTATGAGTCAAGTGAGAGAAGACCAGGACTCACAAAAACGGCCTTTGCTTGGCATACGTGATTCATTTTCAGAGAACACTGGCAATATCAGTTTAGGATATATACAATCATTATGAGGAACTTTTGTTGTGAGAGAGAGGTCTTAGTCCTAGATGCTTGCTCTTATATCCATGGAAAATGTATTCTAGCATCGATTCCATACTAAATTCTAATGCATTTTTTTTTTCTTTCTTATGGTGGAAGAGGGCTGGTCTCTAAGAGGACACATGCTGTTTCTCCCATACCTCTCCTACTCCATCCTATTGAATGCATGGGCAAAGCAAAAATAAGAGCGTTAGTTTTGAATTTAGAATGTGTGCATCTCCCATTCCCCCGAGATGTGCTGTAGTTGCTTTCCAACTCTTTTGCTAGATTTACATTAGATATGGTTCATTCCTGAAGAGACTTACAGCAGACACTGCAGTTCAGCATGAGATTTATCCCAGGCCACATAATCTTAAAGGCAGAATAATCTTTGGAAGTTTTTGGGAAAAGGTAGCAAGTTTTGACTCAGGTAATTCACCCCCTTACTGATTATGTGGTAAGCACACTTAAAAGATCCAAATGTAATTAGATGGCCCCCTATTTATGGTTTTAACTTTACCATGTTCTAAAAGTGAACTCAAGTTTTGTATCTGGACTTTTTTTTTTTCCATTTTGATCCAGTATTTCATAAACTACATATGTAAGTCTTAACTATAAAAAGGGCTTTGTGTTAGATGATCTTGACCAACTAGATGGTAAAATAACTGTTCTGAGCATGTCAAAGGTGGATTAGGCTAAGATGATGTCTGGTAGGATTAGAGTATTAAGTGCATTTTCAATTTAGGATAGTTTTCAACCTCTGACGGGTTGACTAGGCAGTAACCCCATCAAGGCTTAGGGGGATCTATACTTTGTCACCCTGTGTTGGGTTGGGTTTAGAGGGTAAAATAAACGTATTGTGCATATACCTTGTAGTTGTATGACACTTGCTAGGCACACCCCCCCCATGTCCTAAGATGGTACTTATGTTATCAAATAAATAATGCTAATAACACAAGTAAAGTAAATTTATTTTCAACTAAGTTAGTGGACTGTAAAATAAGGTGCTACCAAATTAAAGAGTGAATGAGGAAATCAAGCAGAACCAGTTCAGTAATTAGGCAGTAAACACATAAAAAGAATTCTCAAGGGAGAACACAACTATCTAAGAAGTTTCTAAAAGGTTAAAGGACAATCAGGCATTTTTAATAAAGCACAACCGTCTACAGGGTGTGTTGGGAAATGGTGTGGCTTAGGCTTTAGTTCCACCTTCATGACAGTCCAGACGGGGAGGGAGGGACCACCTGTAGTGGTCTCTGACCACCCAGAATGTGAGCGTTTAGACTAAAGCAGCCCAAAGTTTCAGTGTCAACCTGTCATCTCCTTTATGCTCCCACCCTCCCGCAACTCAGTTAAGTTCCTTGGAGGGAATAATTATACACTAAGCAGAGAGAGGACACAGATGCAGCAAGCCAGGTGACCAGAGCAACAGAAAACTTTGGATTGAAACCAATTAGCCTTTCCCCCATTGTCTCCTGTTGCTTGGGTTCTGCTGACTAATGACACTATCATCTTCAGAGGTGTATCTGGAGAGAACACACCTGCTTAGCAACTGAGCACATACAGAGAAGCAGCCTGTCGGAGTCCTGAATGCAGCTGCTCTGTTGCTGAATTGGCGAAGTAGAGGCAAAGGCCCCCTTCATACTTCCCGAGCATAACAAAGGGAGGCCCGGACAGAAATGCTTTTGGAAATGGACACCAGTGAACATGAACATGCTGAGACAAAACTGAGTAGCAGGAACAAGGAGTGGCTTCTCACCCTTTACATATGCACTCTCTCACAAACAGCATTTTCAATGTCCCACCAAGTAAAGTGCTCTTTTTAGGAAAGCCCCCAATATATCCCTTCAGACTGAATTCTAAATAGCTCACTGTGTTTTCTTTACCCAGGAAGATTTTCAGGATCCATTCTAAGTCAAGAGAATGAAGTACTGGCATGTAGATTAATTTTTAAAGGTACAGAGACTTTGGGAAAGGGATGGAGAGGTCTGTAGGAGAACCACATCTTTACAAGGACCCTCCTGGCATTAGATGGGAGAGTCTGATCTCAAAGACACAAATCAGTCATCCTACAGACAGCTAAACGGCATGATATTTATTTTACAACAGTTTTCTCCAAGAATTAGAAGGTTCAGGATCTAATAATTTCATTAATTCAACAAATATGTGTTGAGGACCAACCATGTACTGGGAATGAGGATGTATGGATGGATTAATACTTGGCCCATAATCTTGGTTGTTTCGTTTTTCTAAAAAGCAATATACCATGCAGTTAAGATCCTGGCATGTGCAGCTACAAAGACAGACATATGTAGAAGTATCTGCATATATCTGAAGAGATTAGATACCCTTACTCATGCCTCAAACTCGGTCACCATGCTGCTGCTGCCTTTTTTTTTTTTTTTTTTTGCTCTTCTCTCTACCTTTTAGTTTACTGTCTCATTCTTTTTTCTTGTACCTCATTTTCTAAACTGTCATTTTAGGAAAGTAAGGTGGTTTTCCCTGTGTTTTTAAAAAGTGTTGTAACAGATTCTCTTTCTTACATGATTTTAGAGCTGATCATAGAAGAGGTGTAGTTCTGTGGCTTCATTGGTTTCAGAGACGACAGTGGATAGAGCTGAGTAGATATGTGTCTGTGAACACTTGAATCCTTACATGCAGGGGTATGTGTGAGTTCAAAGACACTTGACTCTTGTCAGAACACTTGAAGCCACTGCCACACCTTACGAGGGGAAGAGCACCACAAGTTGGGACCACATGCGAGGGAGTTCTAGGCCTCAACGGCCATCTCCATGTCTGCCTGCCTGAAGTTTTTTTCACTGCACTGCGGTGCTGCCCAAATTCAGGTGTCCACCAACCTCCAGAGAAAGGCCCATCACCTTCTGTGAAAGTCACTGGCATGTACTCCTTATCACACTTGGTCTATAGATCCTGTCCACCTCTATCTCAACATTGGATGAGCAGCAGCTCAATGTTCTCCTCCAATCAAGTGACTGTCTTGGACATTCTAGCCATCTTGCTGACTTCTAGTTTTCAAACTCTCACATCACTTACTGTTCCTAGATTCATTTTTCGATCATTCTTTTTATTGTTAATTACCTGAAGGCCAATGCAAGCTCCCCCACTGCTTTAAACTCTTCCAAAATAGTAATGCCTCTTTCATTTTCCTCAGAAATGTACAAATCATTGGTGTAACTATTTACTGATTGCTTGCCTGGCCTCACACTGAGGTATTAAAGAAATCACCTTGTGAGGTTGATTTTTAAAAGCATTATTGCAGGGACTCTTCTCAGTTACATTTACACATACACAAGCTTATACCTGTCACTGGTCTGTTTGCTTGAAGTATTTTGAAAAAAAGCACTGAAATCTGTAACAGATCCAAAAGTTCTGTTTTCTTTCTGGGCACAGGGTTGCTACTTTTCTCTTATTTTTGGCTTCATGAACAGGGTTTTACATATCCCTGCGGTATTAATATCTTCCCTATTCATTATCCCTACTTTATCCAAACACGATAAAATCTTCAGGGAAGGTTTGGTAGGACCCAGCATAGATAGGGAAAAAAATGTATACAATTGATAGGTTAAGGGGAAGAGGAAGAACTAAGAAATCTCACAAGTTCTAAACAAGTCAAACTGAGGATGTGTGCACACCTGGAAGAAGTTGCACAGATTGCAGAGAATGGTTGCACAGATTACAAAAGCAGGACCTTAGAGGGGAAGTGTTCAAGGGTTCTTCTGGCCTGGAAAGGAAAGAGCTGTCCAGTGCCTTGTCCAGTGCAGGAAGGGCTGTTGGGAGAAGAGAAGAGGCCTAAAGAAGGTACTGGATGAGGCGTTTCGTTTATGATGAAGCTAGTAACCAATTCTTGACCGTCTCTAAAGAACTGAAAAAGAGGATGTGGCCTTTTATTCTGGCAACTGGAACACTGCTTAGATATTAAAATGACCTTTTCTACAATGAGGGTTGTTAAAAAACCTATGCTGTTATTTCTGAGAAATCCTGTGAAATCTCCTTTCAAAAAATCCCTAAAACGCAGCGTGACTTTACAGTAGTCTGCAGGTATTTTATTTTATTTTTTTGGTCAAAACTGATGAGGAAGCTGAATGACCTTTCGTGGCTCCTTTGAACTTCATAGTTCAAAGAACAGGTATAAACAAGTTCCACAGCTTCATGAACTGTAATCACACCTGGTCATTTATAGCAACTAGTGTCCTCAAAGTGCTCACTGGAAGGGTCCTCCCTAACTTGTTTTCTCTACATGACACCCATCTGAAAGACACTCAATGTTGATGTTTTGAATGAATTTATGGATCCGGATTTATTTCACAAGACTGTATAGCTTGCAGAATTGGGAGTATATCAAATGCTTTTCAAAATATGATATTCTATTTTATATCCTATTAGATATTGTAGAATAAACATTGTTCCCATTTC